GGCAATTACCCGGGTGCACTGCAATTTTGTCAGCTGCCGCTACCAGACACCGATTGTTATTGGTGGCATACATTTTTGCCTGTGACTCATAGTTTTTTGCATTTTTATGTCATTAAATCCCTCAATTATATCTTGTACTTAAAGATCATGTTTTCTTTGTTGGAAGTTCGCAATCCATCCCAAAGTAACAACCCTGGGAACATAGCGTTCTGGCGTTCGTGTAGGCACCTCACGGTGTTAAGGGACGGTGGTTTAGGTTTGTGTGGCGAACGACAATCACCCAACGACCGACGCTCACAACTTGGATCCCATCATTAACAAAAAGCAATATTATAGTTATATAACTTTTCAGATGTTTTTAATTCAGTATTTTTTTCAATATTCTTCTAAAATTCAACCACTATATTTCCCTAAAAATCAAATAATACCGGTTTTATGTATTTCCGTATTAAACCTGTAGTCAATTCATGTTCCAGGGCCACTTGGTTTAGCCGTGCATTATCAGCCAATATACCATGGATTGCATATGCAAATTTTGTGTTTGGACCAATCAAATCAATGGATTAACACCATCAATATACTGGTATAATATAATTCTCAATATGTAATTGCTATCGGTGGCATGCAGACGACAGAACTGGAAGAGGTAAGTTTGTATTTTATCTTCTTTGGGAAAAAAAACATTATTTGCTATTTCATTTTTGAAATCTGATGGGTTTGTCAAATGTGCAATGGTGGCTATCCTTTATGGTTTTCTATTCTCATTTTTAGCTGGTGAAAGCTTTGGCGTCCGTCCGTCGACGACTTCTTTTCAAAAACTGTTGGACCGTTTGCCTTGTTTTTGGTGTGTAGATGTCTCAGGAGCTGTAGATGGAAATTTGTTCACGAGAAGACGATCCACATATAATTCTGGAATTTGGATCAAAAAAAGTAAAAATCGTTATTTTAGACAATTTCTTCAGAACTATCAGCCAGATTGCTTAGATGGGCTTGTTTAAACCGAAGAAAAACTTAGAAAGAAGAACAAAGAACGAAGACAGAATATTCATACTGTTTAATCATGACATATATATTCTTCGTTCTTCTGTTTAAAGAAAACCCCACCCTAATCTTTAAAACGAAGAACAAAGACCACACATTAATATTCAAATAAATAAATTTATGGAGGGTGCGAACAGAGTGGAGCCTGCCGAAGACGCTCTCCGAGAATTACAAGTATTTTCAGCCTTATATCGGGGGAAATTCTTCTCTCTGGGGTTCTCCACACGTGGCAGGGGGGAATCTCGTCTCGTCTCTCTATCGCGTCCCCTTGAGGTACGGAATCGGGGAAGTCGCTTAAGCTTTACAGTCAAATAGACGCACACAACGAAATACGTTTCAACTCTCGTCTTAGTCGGTCAGTCGTGCACTCTATAAGACACAGCGCCCTGGGGAAAAGTCCCCGAGACTATCGCAAGGCTGACCCAAGACTCTCTAAACTGCGTCAAGACTAGCCCAAGACTCTCTCTAGACTGCCTCTCTCCTCTTGTACTTGCCAAGACCAACTAAAACAACTTTATTCATTTTCAAAACCTTAACCAATTACAAAGACTCTAAGGCGAAACCTTCAATCATACAGCCTATCACACTAAGTACTGAACACGTCATATCTTTTGATTAATCGTTCACTACATTAGTAACTACGGATACCAACTGTCAGAAATCGTAGTCCGAATAGCGACGGTTATCTCGTAATTGGTTCCAAATCACTATACCAAGTTCCGTCGAGAACATCAAATGGGCCGAAACGATGACAGACATAACACAGCCATTCACTCGTAATCAACTAATTAAGTCGATTAACAGATACGCGTAAACAATTTCATCACAGTTATATCATTCAATATTAGTTTCGGTAGCAATCCAACGAGGTTTGTACTTGTCACTATCTCAGTAATAAGTATCTTTAGAAATTTATAGATCCAGAATCGGAAGTTTTTCTTGTTGAAATCGCCAGGATGACTAAGATGAGTGGACATTTGCATTTTTAGGGACCTCATTTGCATATTTAACAAGGACAAGTGACACTTTCTGTACAAATATGTCTAACGTAATCCAGGATCTCATACAGGCCAGAAAGGTAATGTGATGGATACAGAGTGTTCAGCAGATCAAATACCACATACGTATGCTACAAAAAATGACATCTCTGAGATGAATAATTCCTTGTCTCGACAACTAGCAGCGATTCTGACAGAATCACAGGCAATACACAAAGGTTTGATTTAATTGAACAACGCATGAATAATCTAGAAAATGACGTTGCCGAGATGCGTACAGAAATCGATGATTTCAAAAGTGAAATACGCAATTCAAATCCTACCAATTTAGAGGGCCATTCCTTTGCATACAGTTCAGATGTATTGAACGGAATTCGTGAATTAAAATCAGAGTTAAAAGAACTACTAGTAAATATGACGACATGAGTAACAGATCTCGCCGAAATAACCTAGTATTTAAAGGGGTCCACCAGGAGAAAAGTTCGGAATCGTGGGAAGAGTCTGAAACCATCGTGAAACTCATAATTAAAAACAAATTAGGAATTACTTCAAATGTGGAGTTTCAAAGAGTGCATCGTGCTGTCTTTTAATTGTGGGATACTTATAGTCGCTATGTGTACTAACTACAAGGACAAAGAAATTATCCTAAAAACGCGTAGCGGCTACAAGGATCAAATATGTATATTGATGAAAACTATTCAAAAGAGATCAGATTTAAAAGGAAATAAATGTTCGAGTTCAGAAAAGCGCTGAAGAATGATGAGCCTAACATAAGGGCGTACGCGAATTACGACAGACTCTCCGCGAAGAACCAAAGTGGAAAACGAACACTGTACGAGTACGACGACGCTCAACATAAAGTGATCATATGCCAACCAAAGTAGCAGACTGGTTAACGCCCTAATGAAATTGACATCATTACAGTGGAACTACTTGTTTGGAACGTTAGAGGTTTGATATAAATGGGGCGATACAGAATTTATTGCATATTTAAAACAATTTGATATTATTGCTCTAACCTCAGACTAGTAATTCAATTTATTAGTCTGAGCTCTAACTGAAACCTTTGTAGATTCATGCACCTTTAATTTAGAAAATTATTGTACTTATTATGTTAACGCACAACGATCCGGTAATAAGGGGAGACACTCGGGTGGTATTATTGTTTTTATTAAAACCATCTTCTCACAATTTGTTTAGAAAACGGGATGCTCAAAAATCCTATTCTTTGGCTAAAGTTAGAAGTGCCAAATAAAAACGTCCCCCTGCTTGGTGCTGTATACATACTACCTGTTAGGTGTTACTATGCTAACGACACTTTTTTTTGCAGAAATTGAATCTGATATAGTAAATCTATCCAGTCGTTATTATGGCGCAAATGTGTTATTAATGGGAGACTTTAATGCACGGACAGGGGGTACTAAATGACTTTATCGAAGATGAAAATTCTACTCATGTGCCTATTGGTGACACACACATTGCTAATACTGATATTGGCGTGCGTAGTAACTGTGATGTAGAAAACAATAATTATGGAGATGAGTTATTGAGTGTATGCAAAAACACTGATATTAGAATCATAAATGGACGTAGACCCTCTGACACCATAGGGCACTTTACAAGCATAACTTACAATGGGTCTAGTACGGTCGATTATGTAATAGCGTCACGAAATATTTTTAACACTATATCTGATTTGCATGTTGGATGTAGAACTGAATCGGACCACATGCCAATTACAATACACCATACATGGTGTTTTTTATTGGTAATCGTCAAACTGTAACTGTTAATAATAAAAGTATGCCACAATTTAGGAGATATTATGTGAATCAGGAATCATGTAAAATATTTCAAGCGAAATGGATAGAAGGTGATTTTGATCATGTGATCCAAACTATTCAGTTCGACACTGATAATGGTGATATAAAGGGTGCTCTCTCTAAACTATCAGATTTATTCATGAATACTTGACCACGCATGCGTCAGAATAACAAAGGCGTAAACATTCACTGTGCTAGGTGGTTTGACACTGAATGTAATAACGCTAAGTTAGATTTTAAAAGAAAACTACGACAATTTCGTCGTACAAGAACACTTGATTCTTTAACTGATTATCGCACTAGCAAAAGAAAATACAGTGATATGATTATCAAAAGGAAAAAGGTCTATCAAAATAACCAAATATCCGAGTTAGAAAAAGCCGCTTGTGGCAGGGATAGCAAAACGTTTTGGGGATTCTTCCGAAATGCAGACCAGCACACACCACCCTCAATTAGTCCAACTGAATGGTTTAATTATTTCAATTCTTTATTTAATCCAGTTATTAATGTGGAAAGAAACACTGAGCACGAAAATCTGTGGAGCAGTGTTGAATCTGCTGTCCAGGATGGTAATTTCAACTACTCACAGGAGGACCAAATCACTGATTTGATTAATTTTCTAATTTCCAAACTTGAAATTGAAGTTAGTATCAAACAGTTGAAATTTGGTAAATCACCGGGCAGTAATGGCATACCGCCTGGATTTTGCAAATTTTGCTATCCTCATGTTAATATGATGAAATTGTTTGCACGAATGGCTGTGTTATATCTGTCATCGTTTAGGCTCATGCGAGATCCTGGATGGAACTCGACTCAGTGATTTGGAACTAATTACGATATAACCGTCGCTATTCGGACGACTATTTCTGACAGTTGGTATTTGCAGTTAGTAATATAGTGAACGATTAATCAAAAGATATGACGTGTTCAGTACTTAGTGTGATTGGCTGTATGATTGAAGGTTACGCCCTAAAGTCTTTTTACTGCTTTGTAATTGGTTAAGGTTTTGAAAATGAATAAAGTTGTTTTAGTTGGTCTTGGCGAGTACAAGAGGAAAGAGGCAGTCTAGAGAGAGTCTTGGGCTAGTCTTGACGCAGTTTAGAGAGTCTTGGGTCAGCCTTGCGATAGTCTCGGGGACTTTTCCCCAGGGCGCTGTGTCTTATAGAGTGCTCGACTGACCGACTAAGACGAGAGTTGAAACGTATTTCGTTGTGTGCGTCTATTTGACTGTAAAGCTTAAGCGACTTCCCCGATTCCGTACCTCAAGGGGACGCGATAGAGAGACGAGACGAGATTCCCCCCTGCCACGTGTGGAGAACCCCAGAGGAGAAGAATTTCCCCCTGATATTAACTCAATTATTACATGGCATCTTTAACAGTATTTTCGATACAAGCATTTTCCCTAAGCATTGGTGTGAGGGTATTATATTCCCGATATATAAAAATGGTTCTAGGAATAAGGCTTGTAATTATCGAGGTATCACATTACTTCCAATATTAAGTAAAATTTTCAATAGAATTTTATATAATAGGCTAGGTAAATGGGATGAATATACTAGAGAAAACAAGCGGGTTTCAGGGCATGGTATAGCACGATAAATAACGTATTTATTATTCACACATTGGCACAAAAATATCTTGCAACTAAACGGGGGCGTTTTTATTGTGCTATATTGACTTCGAAAAAGCATTCGACAGAATCAATTGGGTAGTTTTTTGTTCAAACTTGGTGAAGCAGGTAATAGAGGTGAAATGTATTCCATTCTTAACTCTATGTATTTACAAGTAAAACCACGTGTCTTGACAAGCGATGGTTTGACAGGCTTCTTTAACTGTCCTGTTGGAGTGCGTCAAGGTTGTATTTTGTCTCTTTTTTGTTCTTTTATTTTATAAATGACCTTCAACTTAAGTCAGACGAGCTTTCAGGTGATAGTGTTGGCTGTTTTGTAGGTTTAATTAAGTCTACAGCTACTGAAAATGTACACATCAAATTTTGTAAATTTTTGCTTCATATTCCTAATACACCACTAATTCACGCAACGGTAAGAGGGGAACTTGGTCGTCCCACAATGTATTCTCTTCGTTTAGTTAGAATGGTGAAATATTGGCTGAAAATATTTAAAATGAACCCAAACCGTTACGTTTATCAATGTTACAATTGTCAATGCTCACTCGTTGACTCAAACAAAACTTGCTGGGTTAAATCATTTAAAGAAATACTATTTAGTTACGGATTTGGCTTGTTTCGTCAGCGGTGTTTTGACATCGATCTCCAAAAATGGTGTGATGTTGTAAATTCATTTGAAAGATTAACTTCATATAAACTAGAATCGTATCTTGTAATTGAAATGAAAACAGCTTTTCGACTTGCTATGTTAAAATTCGGAACATCATCACATAAAAATGGTAAAAAAGGTAAAAAAAGAACGTTTGTTTGAAATTAACATTTTTGAAACTATAAATGAAAGAAAGACTTTGAAACAATCATCTTTTCCGTCGCTTGGTGGCGGACTCCATTTTAGATTGCATTGTTGTCATTAGAGATTCCCCATAAGTTAGTAATTCTCGTAATGCCTTCGATTGAGGAACTCCTTAAGTATACAACCCTTGGAGTTAATAGTCATTTAGGAAAGTGCTCAAGAAATTGAACAGAAATTAATTAACATATTAGGCGTCCCCTCTCTTTTCTTCTTGTTTGAAATTGGTCGTCAGCATTTTAATTGCAGTAACATTACGAGAGGAAGACTTCAGTCATTATAAGAATAACATGGCCTGGCAACTTATCAAGAGTTTCCCGTGGCTATACATAACTTTCATACTGCGAATAAATACACGTATCGGGAATAAAAAAACAATATTGAAGAGTCGATACAAAATAATTTTAAACGCTGGTTGGGGCATGTTACGGTAAAAAACACCCAAATGTTGTCATTAAGTTTGCTCTGCGTGTTGCAAGATCAGAATTGAATTGATATATTTATATTATTCTCAGGGGAGGACATCCGGGCATTTTAACCGCCTGGCAACCATCGGTGAAAACAAAGGCCGAAAGCTCTTAGAAAACGGTACTTTGGGATGGTTGTTGAGACTCCCATGAACAGTGTGTGACATGTATAAATTTGGTTGTTCAGGATTACTTCAAAGTTGAGTTTTGTGTTTTCTCGAATTTAGTTATTTTCACTGCAGCGCGCGCAGAGCCCATAGAAATACATGGTACAGTGGTGCGCATCTTAGCAACGTGAAACGTATTATGACGTATCTCCGCCCGAGGATAGGCGGGCAAATTTCAAGCAATTAATGAGGATGTTGATATTCTTCGAAATCGCGAAATAACGAATTTCTGGTGGGACATGTGGAACACTTTCTGCACACAGAGGGCGCTATTATTAATATATCCGGTGCAGACAGCGGTAATATGGTAATCCTCCTCCAAAATCATATATTTACCAAAACATGTATACTCAAACATATGTACATGTGTGTGTAAATTAGATTAAAAAAAACATCATTCTGTACGTTTTGCTTTTTTTGCGATGACCCGACAACGGTTTTATAAGTTGCTAAGCCATGATAATAATTTCACAATTAATTGTTTCCGAGGTTCTCATAACCACTTTTCGAGATTTCCGGGGTTTTCAAATTGTTTCCGAGGTTTTCGGAAAGCCCAGACCACGCATGCATTCTATATTAGCGAATGTGGTTGGGAAGAAATACATCATTGCCCAGAGGCAATGGGTCAGACGACCAAGCAAAATACCCCCACACACGACGATTCAAACATGACAACGAGTTCATAAATGGTGTTTACGAAGCGCATTTTCTATTTTATTTATCTCATAGTGGTATCTAGGGAACTCTGGGATTTCTATCATCTCATGGTGGTATCCAGGGAACTCTGGGGTTGCTATTATCTCATGGTGGTATCCAGGGAACTCTGGGGTTGCTATCATCTCATGGTGGTATCCGGGGAACTC